GTCCCTGCTTCCTAAAGGCTGAACTGGGAGTGTCAGTGAAACCTGAGGTCCAGCTTGGTCCCTCCTGGGAAGGAAGACGGCTAGGACCTCCTCTCCCTCAGTAACCACTACTCTACCTGCCACCGATCCATGTAGTCAAATGGCTGCTACTTACAACGTGTGAGTGGTGACTCCCACCAGAGAATGTCCCTCCAACAAGCAGCTGAAAGACAAAGTGAGTGGTGGGGAAACTGAGGCCCTGAGGGGGGAGAGTCGGAGATGAATTATGGCTGGGCCTGGTTCCCAGAACTCCTAGATGAAGTTCCTACCGGAGCATCCTTGCGCCTGTGGTCTGGTCTTCTAGCATGGCACTGGGTACCGGCAAAGTCACTCTGCCCGAGGGGTGGGAGGTCTGGAGCCAAGCCTTCCTATTTCTGCTCTCTTCATGGGTGACTGAAGGTGATCCACTCAGGCTTCCGGGGTCTTCCTGAATCTCAGTGAAGTCAGATGCAGGCTGTGATAGGATATAGTGGTGCCATGGCCTCCAGAGAGAGGTCTGGTCTTAATGAACATCAGGAACCAACCTTTCTCTCAACCTCAGTGTCTTCAACTGTAAAATGGGGGAGTGAACTGGGAGACCACTATGGGCCCGATGCTGAGAGCATAGCAGCACCATTTGGAATTTGACCTTTACCACTTGGGAGCAGGGTCTGAATCGCACTCATCTCTGTCCCCCGAGTCTCAGCACAGTGCCTAACACACACCCCAACATCTTGGAGTTTGACGACCTTCCTGGGAGGGGCTGTATAATAATCTCCAATCTCTCTGACTCAAGTCAGGGGAAGCTACCTGGTGATCTAGAGGCTCCACCCATCCCTCCTGCCACTACTGCAATTCTACTTTGAGCCTATCTCCCTGAAACTAATAATTTTAGGGCGCAAATTTGACATGTTCTTCACAGACATTACAAACCTGGCTCATCCGTTTTGCATTTGGCTTTGAATTTGTTGTCTGGACTTCTAGGAAATTAGTAATGAGTGATTCTAATAATTGTTTGTTCTTGGAACTCTCCTAAAAATAACTTGGTCAAATGAGGGTGGTGGTGGGGTGAGGCAGTCCTCTAAAACATTTCTCCTTCATTCCATCCGAAGTCTTGAGTTCCAATTACTCATAAAAGTTTCTGTGTGCATAGTTCCAAATTCTAATGAATTTCCAGGAAATATCCCCAAAATGATGTTGGCATTGTCAAGATGTGTTCGTTTTGTTTTGTTTTGTTTTGTTTCAAAAAACTCTTGCTAGCTGCTCTCTTTCGTGCAGACAACAACTGCATAAAATATGTCAGTTTCAGGGGTATATTATTGGAGCTGTATCTTAATGGCATAAACTGATGATATCGAATTCTCAGAACCATCAAATCTTGAGATTTCAGTCAGCATGCCCAGAATAATACCCAGCAGTCTCTCCTCCCAAAGTTGACACTTTTCATAGCTTCACTTCAATGTCTATCCGTTACGTTCTATGGTTTCTGAGCAAGTCAGTATTTTGGGCCTTATTTCTTTAATTATCATCCCTTTCCAACTAAGTAAAGAGTTTGATGTCAACCAAGTTCCTGAAGGAGCCCAGCTATGGTCAAGGTGCTCAGGGCAAGGTCTCCAGGCCCTAAGTGCAGCTGCATCTGGAAAGCTGCCATCTTGTCCCCATGTAGTTGGGGAGCCTCCTTGCCATCCATGCCATCTCCATGCCCATCATGATGGTCCAGCCCTGTCCCAGTCCCAATCTCAATAAACTTCAGTTGCTGGAAAGAAGCAACCAGATCTGACCAGCCCCAAGGCTTCAGCTTCACGCCGGGCTGGCGAATGGGCGTTTAGCACCTTCCCCTGGCAGAGCAGCTAAGCCGCAGAAATGAGCTTGGGTTACATTCCAGGGTCCAGCCAACTTGGCAGCCCCATGAGTCAAGGCTGGTGTGTGGCCAGCCATGAGTCTAGCACAACTAAAAGGCATAAAACCGTATTTTGCTGTTGAGATACACACCCACGGGCAGGCTTTGTAGGCAGTTCCCCAGACACAATCCTCGATTTCTGCTACCGTGCTCTTGCGAACACCCTTCCTCTTGCCAGGAGTCTCCACGGCACATGTCTCCTTATGCATCTGGAACCCAGCTTCCCTCAGATTGAAATTCTGCCTCCAATGATGCTAATAAGGAGGGCCACAAGGCATAGGTGAAGGGCAGAGTCTCCTCTGTCATCTCTGATCTCAAGTCAAACCTCAGCCACATCTACTCCTTCCCAGCAAGTCCATGGCTTTGAGGATTTCTCACCAGTTCTGCATGTCACAACTTCTTTGGAGGCTGGAGCTAGGATCTTGACTCTAGAACATCAAGGGACCCCTCATCGTGGATGTCTTAGCTTCATCAGAGGTCAGAGCTGAGGTCTCAGCTCTACAACATCAAGCAGAGCCATCATCATGGGCATCAACGCTTCATCGGGGACTTGAGCTGGAATCTCAGTTCTGGAACATCAAGAGGGCCATTCACTGCTGACATCTGAGCTCAATCAGAGGCTGGAGCTGGGGTCTCAGATCTGGAACCTCATGAGGGTCACTCATGATGGACATCTGAGCTACATCAGAGGCTGGAATTAGATTTCAGATCTGGAACATCAAGTGGACCCTTCATCATGGACATCTGAGCTTCATCAGAAGGTGGAGCTGGGGTCTCAGTTGTGAACATCATGACGGCCGTTCATCATGGACATCTGAGCTTCACTGGATGCTGGAGCTGGGTCTCAGTTCTGAAACATTGAGATGGCCACTCATCATGGACATTTGAGCTTCATAAGAGGCTGGAGATGGAGTTTCAGATCTGGAACATCAAGCAGGCCATTCATTGTTGACATCTGAGCTCAGTCAGAGGCTGGAGCTGAGGTCCCAGATCTGGAACATCATGAGGGCCACTCATCGTGGACATCTGATCTCCATCAGAGGCTGGAGTTGGAGCTGGAATCCCATATCTGGAACATCATAAGGGCCACTCACTGTGGACATCTGAGCTACACTGGAGACCTGGCTGGGTTCTCAGTTCTGAAACATGAAGGTGGCCACTCGTCATGGACATTTGAGTTTCATCGGAGACTGGAACTGGGTTCTCAGATCTTAAACATCATGAGGGCCACTCATTGTGGACATCTGAGCTCCATCAGAGGCTGGACCTGGGGTTTCACGTCTGGAACATCAAGAGGACCCTTCATCATGGACATCTGAGCTTCTTCAGAGGCTGGAACTGGGTTCTCAGGTCTGGAACATCAGGAGGGCCACTTGTCATAGATATCTAAGCTTCATCAGAGGCTAGAGCTGAGGTCTCAGTTCTGGAACATCAAGATGGCCACTTGTCATGGACATTTGAGCTTCACCAGAGGCTGGAGCTGAGGTCTCAGTTCTAGAATATCAAGAGGGCCACTCATCATTGACACATGAGCTTCATCGGAGGCTGGAGATGGGGTCTCAGATCTGGAACATCATGAGTGCCACTGATCATGGATGTCTGAGCTTCATTGGAGACTTAAGCTGGGTTCTCAGGTCTGGAACATCAGGAGGGCCACTCATCAGGGGCATCTGGGCTTCATCAGACTCTGAAGCTGGGTTCTCAGATCTGGAATTTCAAGAGGGCCACTCATTGTGGACATCTGAGCTTCATTGGAGACTTGAGCTGGGTTTTCAGTTCTGGAATATCAAGATGGCGCCTCTTCAGAGGCTGGAGCTGGAGTCTCAGATCTGGAACATCATGAGGGCCACCCATCGTGGACCTCTGAGCTTCAATGGAGGCTGGAGCTATAGTCTCAGCTCTGGAACATCTAGGAGTCCTTCATTCTTACTGACTCAGCTTCATCAGTGACACAGCTTTACCCATTACATACAGGACTCTCCTGGAATGAGTGTTGACTCAGGATCACAGCCAGATTGTACCTGCTTGAGACTACGTGGTTGGCCATCCCCTTTCCATCAGTTCTAAAATGATAACTGCCTGGCCAGAGGCCCCCACCACCACAATGTGTGAGGAGGACAAGAACTGTAGCCCTGGGGGCAGCCCCTCTGAGGCTGCAGAAGCCAGGACAGTGAGCTCAACTCGGACTTCCTCCACCATCTCTGTATATTCCTTTCTGGAAAGAAACCTGGCATCCTATGACCATTAGAAGAAGGGGGTCCAGCCAGGTTAGCTCATCCAAATGTGCATCAGTCCCAGAACCTCCACCAGGCCAGCCCTGCTGCAGGACATTTTATCACCCTTGAGTGCCAGATGGGTAGGGGACAGGCGGGGACTGGAGCTGGCTCCCCTGCCCCTCCCCACCCATCACACTGCCCAAAGAGAGAAGCCCCAGTGAGAGGCACATTTAACACTTACCCGTTCTTACATTAGTAGCACATCCATTACTGTGTTTGTTAAGGCAAAAAAAAAGGTATTTATTGAGAGCACAATAGGATGTGCCAAGCCCCAGGTTGGGCACTTTCAGACCGCATCACAGGCTCCTCACAACAACCCTGTGAGGTAGGTGCAGAGCCCCTTTCACAGATGCGGATGGCGAAGGCACAGCCAGTCCCCTAAGTCTCAGGGTTCATAAGGTGTGGGCAGGCGTCAAGCCCACGTGTCTGACCCTCAGCTCAATGAAGTCCATCCGCAAAGCGTGGGCGGCTACCGCAGGGGAGGCTGAGGAGGGCACACGCCTCCTCGCAGGGGGCAGCCGGGTCCAGAGTCTTTGGGTCCAGCCTGTCCCGAGGGAATGTGAGCAGGGCGTCCCCGTGGCTGTGGAGGCTGAGAGAGACACAGGTGCAGATGAAGGCCACCCGCTCCTGGCCGCACTGGCCAACAAGCGTTCTCATGCAGACAGGCAGGTCAGGCGCGCAGAGAGGACAGGAACCCCCTCTGCTCACCAGAAGGAGCGCCTGAGAACCTGGACATCGGAGGAAAGGCCCTGGCTCCCCGCTGTCATGGGGTCGAGGGGAGCACCCAGCCACCAGCTCCGGCCTTTCTACTTAGTTCCCTTCAGCCTCTGGTGTCCTGCACATCACCTGGGTCTCCTCCACCCGCACAGACTTCCAGAAGCACAACCCTGGTCATGGCGCCCTCCCCGACCAGCCACCTCTCACAGTGCTCACCGCACTAACCCAAAATCTGGAACTCCTAGCCTTTCCAAAGACCACCCAGCTCTCCAACCCATTACCAATGAAACCTGAGTGTTTTCTAAAATACCAGCCTCGTCCTAATCTGGGGGTTTCTAGAAATTCTCCCTGATCTTCCCATTTTGGCCTCTCTTCCCCAAACCTGTTAAATCTCTGTATGCAAAAGCAAACCTTTCCCTCCCTCACTGTCTCCCCAGAGTTGGCCAGGTGCCTCTCCCACACCTCCACTCTGTCCCACAGTCCCCTCGGCCAGAGGCCAGGGAGCACAGGGCTCTGTGACCAGCGCCCACAGACGGCAGGGCGCATGGCCAGCCTCAAAGCCCCAGGAAGGCGAGGGCTTCTGTGTGCCAGGTAACAAAGGAATTATTTTCATATAAACAACCTCACTGAAGCAAAAACCATGTCAGGTATGTGACTAGCTCCAGGTTACAGGTAAGCAAGCTCACATAGCTCCCACACACCCACACCCACAAACACACATGTATAAAAAGGTGCTGGGGCAGCTCAAACCCAGATCTTGATTCTTGGGAACCAATACACGGGGTACAGCCAGGCACAGCCACCTTTCTCGGTGTCTACCAGCATCCCCTGGAGGACACAATCATGATGCACCCAATCTACAGATGGGAATTGCCAAGACTCGGGGTGGTTTAAGTAACCTGCCCAAAGACCACTACACTGGCAAATAGTAACATCAGGACCAGAAACTAAATGGGTAAGACCTCCAGAGCCCCACCCCTCAACATCTGCCCTGCGAGGTGGGTGCTAGGTTCCCCCGCAGAAGATAGACCCAAGCAGTCACCTTAAGTTTAAACGCCACACATTTGTCTAGCTCCAAGGTTCTGGCTTTGCCCAGTCTACCTACTCCTCAATGCAATAAATAAAATGCTGAATCCTCAATAGTGTCCCCAAGGCCCAAACCTTGTCCCATGCTGAGAACAATAGGCTAAAGGGGAGGGGAGTCTCACCATGTCTAGGACCTGCATGGATGCTGGGAGCTGCATCTAGGGTTTGCCCAGCGCCATGTGCCTTGGACACCCTGCTTCACTGATGAGTTGTTCCGTACAGACCCTCACAGGGCATGGTCCTTGTCATCCACAAGAGCAATCATCTCCCCCAATTTTCTCTAAATAGAGCTGAGCATTAACTAATCTCAAATGAGGCAGGAATGGCTCTAAGATCTCCTCTGTGGCGCCAGACCAAGGTGCGCTAATGACTTGAAAGCCTGCTCACGGCTGGAACCAGCCCTTCAACTCAGGCCCCCTGGCTCTCACTCAAGCCTCTTGAAAATATGGACTGTGATTTCTGAGCACGCAGGGAACACAGTTTACTGATTACTAATCAACCTCGTTTTGTAAGGAACAAAGTTGGAAAAGATAATCAAACTTTCAACAGAACTCAGACTTGGAAGTGGCAGCTGAATAAGGGTCTCACCTGATGACTGACACAAACACAGCCCCTTGCAAACTTGCTCAGCTCTCCGTCCAAAAGGAGATGTCAGAATGAATCCTTGTGAGCTGGCCCTAGTCTAGCACTAGCTGAGTTTTAAAATTGTGTGTTGACTGGGAGTGAATGAAGGAAGGAATTCAGGGATGAAGGAATGGGTTATAACCACGGCCATCTGGTGGAGGAACCTGGAAGGTGGAAGGCAAAGGTATGGCAGGGGCCAGGCACCACCAGACAGGGTGGCCTGGAGAGGATGTCTCCGCTGGTGGGCAGGGGCCCTGTCAGACCCCAGTCCTGGATTCATCACTGTGTGTGATGCATGGGAAAGCACCTTAGAGAAGGAAGCCATATGGGTGACTGTGGCAGATGAGATTCAGCTGGGGCTTGCTTACAGCAGTGACTGGAGGAAGAAGCTATAAATATGGGTGTTTGCTATATGACCACAGCCCATGGCACTACACACCACACCCAACGGAAAATGTTTGCTTTCAGAAAAGGGAGAGGCCAAAACGCCATGTTAAGAAACATAGGACGAATTCAAGGATGGATGGATGGATCAAATTAAGTTGGAAATCATCACCAACCTCCCAAGAATATCACTGACAACTCATTACACTTTCATTCATCCCTTCATCCTCTCATCCATCAGGCAATCATTCAATCACTCACTACACATTAATCCATCCTTCCATCCTCTCATCCAGCCACCCACTCACCAACTCACTACATCTACAACCATCCATCCATCCTGCCATCTTCTCTTCCATTAGCCAATCAATGACCATTCACAGCACAGTCATCCATTCTCTAACTGATAGGCCAATTACTTACCCACTCACTCACAACTTCATCAACATTTGATTATCTCATCCACTAGCCAATCACTGACCACATTACACCTTCAACATCCTTCCTTTCATTCATTAATCAGCCAATCATTCATCACTCACTATACCTTCATCCATCTTTCCATCTTCTCATACATCTTTCTATCCTCTCATCCATTAGCCAACCACTCATCCACACACCACATCTTCATCCATCCTTCCAACATTCCATCCTCTCATCCATTAGCCAACCACTTGTTCACTCACTAAAACTTGTTCACTCACTAAAATTTCATCCATCTATCCATCTTTTCATACATTAGCCAACCACTAACCCAGTCACTACATCTTCATTGCTCCTTCCATACTCTTATCCATCAGCCAATCGATCATTCACTCACATCTTCATCCATCCTTCCATCCATATCATCCATCAGCCAACCACTCACTTACTACATCTTAAGCCATCCTACTATCCTTCCATCCTCACTATTAGCAATACACTGACCACTCACTACATCTTCATCACTTCCATCTGTCATCTATCAATCAACCACTCACCTCCCCATTCATAGCTTCACCCATCCTTCCATCCTCTCATCCACTAGCCAATCACTCAATCACTCACTATACCTTCATCCATCCTTACACTGTCTTAACCATCTGTCAAACAAAACCCCGCCTACTACATCTTCATCCTTTCTTCCAGCCTCTCATCCATCAGCCAATCATTTACCTATTCACTATACAGTTATCCACCCTACCATCCTCTCATCCATCATCCTACCATTCACCCACTTACAACATCTTCATCCATATTATTATCCTTCCATCCTCTCATCATTAGCAATACACTGACTACTCACTACATATTCATCTCTCCTTCCATCCTCTCATTCATCATCATCTATCCTTCCATCCTTACATCTTCTCATCCATTAGCCAATCACTGACCACTCCCTACATCATAATCCATAGTCTCATCCATAATCCAATCACTCAGTCATTCACTACACCTTCATCTATCTTTCCACTGTCTTATCTATGAGCCTACCAAAAACCCACTCATTACATCTTCATCATCCCTTCATCCTCTCATCAATCAGCCAACCACTCACTCAATCACTACATTTTCATCCATCCTTCTATCCTTCAATCCTCTCATCCATTAGTCATATACTGACAACTCATATCTATATACATCCCTTTATCCTCTCATTCATCCACCAATCATTCATTCATTCACTACACCTTCATACATCCTTTCCTCATCTCATCCATCAGCCAACTAAAACCCACTTCCTAAATCTTCATCCATCCTTCGATCCTCTATCCATCAGCCAACTACTTACCCACTCACTACATATTCATGCATCCTTCTAGCCTTCCATGAACTCACCCATTTTCCAGTTGTTCACAACTCACTACATCTTCATCTATCCCTTTATCCTCGCATCCATCAGATGTTCACTTATTCACTCATTATACCGTCAGTCATCCTTCCATCATCTTATTCATCAGCCAACCAAAATCCCACCCACTACCTATACGCCAATCCTTCCATAGTCTCATCCATCAGCTAATTTTCATTCATTCACTACACTTTATACCATCATTCCATCCTCTAATTGATGAACCAATCATTCACCAACTCACTATATCTCCATTTATCCTTCTGACCTTCCATCCACTCATCCATTAGCGATTCACAGACTACTCACTACATCTGCATCCATTTCTTTATCTTCTCACCAATCATCCATTCACTCATTTACTCACTACACTGTCATCCATCCTTCAATTGTCTCATCCATCAGCCAACCACTGACACACTCACATCTTCATCAATCCCTCCATCATCTCATTCATCAACCAACCACTCACCCTCTCATTCATATCTTCATCCTTTCATCCTTGTTCCAATCACCTACTCACATCTTCTTCCATCCTCTCATCTTCTAATCCAACCACTTGTTTGCAACTTCACCCATCCTTTTATCCTTCCATGCTCTCATCCATTCGCCAGTCATTGACCACTCACTACATCTTCATTCATCCCTCCATATTCTCATACATCAGTGAATCACTCATACACTCACTACAAATTCATCTTTCCTTCAATCTGACATACATCAGCCAACTACTGACCTATTCTCTACATCTTCATCCCTCCTTACATCCACTCAATCACATCTTCATTTATCCCTCCATCATCTTATCCTTCAGACACCCACTTACCCACTCAATCACATCTTCATCAATCCTTCTATCTTTCAATCATATCATCCATTAGCAAATCCCTAATCACTTACTACACCAGCATCCATGCTTCCATCCCCTCAGGCATCAGTCAACCAAT